ATTTTGCTTTGTGATAAAATAATTATGGCAATATTCAAATGATATGTACAATTGAAGTACAAAAATAAATATTAGATAGAGAAAAATTCAAAAATTTGATGCTAAATATGTTAAAATATGTCATGCATCCAAATGTTAAGATGTTTATGAAATGATCTTTAGTTRAAAACAAAAAATTCCATTTGAAGATTTTTTAATACAAATACTTAAATGAAACTCAAGCAAAATATAAATATTTGATACTTTGGTTTGATATAAAATCCAGATCTTTTATTGAGGTAGGGACAAATAACAATACTATTACATTTGCATGAACCACACACTTCCTATATCCTAACCAATTTACAAATATTAATTTACTTTGTTATGCATACACCAATAATAAAAATAAACATCAACGAATTACAATCTTAAAAAGAAAATAATATATATTTCTTTTGCAAACATTCATAAATGTATTTTTACAAACTGAAAATAATCATTTTATTTACCTTTACGGGTCCCCAGAGAAGACTAGAACAAAAATCACAGTAGGTAGGAGTGGTAAAGTTATACTTTTCAAAGCGATGTGGATGAGAATGAGGTGGATTCGTATCCGTGTTTGTAGATGAAGTGTTACTTGCTTTGCCACGCATGAGAATTTCAATGGTGGATCGTTTGTGCAACAACCGCCCGTGATATCTGACCAGTTGTGTACTAAACGAAGCGTGTCTCTAAAGAGAAAATAATGGATTTGAATTAAATAAAGCTTTTCTTATAAATAATTTATACCTTTAACGATTCTGCAGTAACCGGAATTTCTAATTTATCCCAGAGAACCTTCCATTTTTGAGGCAAAAGGCCTAGCTCAGTTTCTAATTTATGAATGTCATCCAATAAATATTTAAATGCATCTGGCATATATCGTTCTACTATATTATACCTGATGAATAACAACAAAAAWGGATATGAAATGTAAATAATAATTTTAAATTTTAATCTAATGATGATTGATTAAAAGATGAAAAAAAATCTGAAAACCAATACCCAGTTGTTATGACTTTCCGTTGGTTTTTGATAGAAATACCGTCTGCAGCTTCAGCTTCTTCTTCTTGTTGCATATCCATCTGAATWATTTCCAAATCGTAGCTGGGTCCGTGAGCCAATTCTTCATTTAAATAATATTGCCAAACATTCAAATTAGGCAATGAGGATTGTGGTCTAAGGACCTAAATAACAAGTAAATAAAAAAATTAAACAATAGAATTATTTTTTTTGATTTAATAGGGTAATAAATTTGCCATGGCCAAAAATGTTAATGTACMGGTTGCTCAATATTTGGCATGTACATGAAGTTGTAAAATATTGATGTACGTGCATTATGTTTTTCAATATAATCAAACACAGATTGTCCCAAATTTGGTACATAGTGAGACGAGACATTGTTACCGGCTAGACGGCCTCCTACAATTCATAATAAACATTAAATGTGAAAACATTTACAAATTTTGGATAAAAATAATAATAAAAATAATAATACCCGGATAAACAATATCATCGTCTGAACCAGTGTCAACGCTTTTGTGGTGTGATGTAAGTGATCCTCGTTTGTCTTCAACAGCAGCCACTCCACATTCTACTCTTTCCAGTTCACAGTCCAACAAAAACGTTCGGAATCGACAAGACACTGAGTGATATGCCAAAAATCTCAAATAGTAATCATTGAATTCAAATGATAATGGGAACTGGCCATGGATTTGATGGACAATATCAAGAAACTGTAAGAAGGTTGGTGCAAACCCAGAAGCTTGGGATGCAGTGGCTAGATTACTGCGATGACTGAACCGGTGACCAAATGCAAGCCATTCTTTTTCAACCAACACCCGGAAACCTTCGATTGTGCGATAATATGGGTCCATGCATAATTGTGCAATTGATGACAGTTGACAAGTTATGTCCCATCCTTCTTCTAAACATAACATGACTGATGAACCTTGCACATCAATCAAATCTACTATAGCCCCAGACAATTGCATAATGTTTCGTAATTGTTGTAACCAGTCTGAACTTTCAATCATTCTAAATCAACGGAAAAATAATTTTTTTTTAATCTAAATTCAACATATCACTATTATTTTCATTTATACTCTAGATTGACATCAGTAATAAAGTTACATGATAGTAAATTAAAATRGAGCAAGCAAAATAACTGTTTTTTTATATATATACATATGATATAACTTCTGGTGAAGTACATTTTTTAATTAAAATAAAAAATACATTTTTGTCAAGATATAAAAAATGATTAAAGAAAGATAGAAGTAGAGGTGCTCAGGATCTCATAAAAGTATGGTTACATTGATTTTTAAATTTTTGTAAATTGAAATCAAATTTTATATTTTTGTTTGTTTTTCAATCTAAGATATTAGGTATCCAATTATTACAAAATTTTCATTTGGAATACATTTTTACAATGGTAACTTAGATAAAATTTTATTCTGATAATGTCTAAATCTGTTTCACATATTTTGTTGAAAACTTAAGTTATGAAATGTCATTATTACGTTTAACATAATATTCGAAATATTTCCTTAAATACCTTGCCTTTTATAGCAATTAACATATAAATATTTATCTTTATCTATACCACTAATAAATAATACTCTGGTATTTATTATTTGATAGATGTTTAAACATACAGTAATATATAATRAAACAGCATTTATTTTGTTAGTCGTTGATAGTCTAAAAAACCACTAAACCAATTTTGAAGTCTTATTTAAAGAATCACAAGAAAGTTCTAGACCAGTGAACATTCTTGCCGCCAAAAAACTGATGATCATAACCAGGAAATAGAAATATATCTGTGAAACTAATTGTTCGGTCTTTACTGTAATATTTTAAAATTTATTTTTGTTAAAAAACCAATTCACAACCAGAGCAAGGCTATGAACAATAATTGTACATTGCATGGTCACAAGTACTAAAATTGAACTGCTCAAAATTTGTATTAATACTACAATTAAGTAATAATTTTAGCAAGTGAAGTAGTCAAAAGACAAAATTTCATAATGACTAACTAGATTCATAAAATAAAATAATGCCCGGAACAATATATTAACTTAAATTTTTTTTTCAACTGAAGAATAAATGCTGTATAAGAGTGGTTATTTGATAAATAGACAACGAATAATTTGTATGTATTCTAAATATTTCTAATCAAATCTACAGAAAATTTTAAGGAGTCTGAATGCTCAGTGATGAAAAATTAATGATTTTATATCACTAGTAGAAAACAAGATCTTTCAAATAGAACTACTATTATACTGTATACACCACGAGCACTTCAACTTAGAATTTGTATCAATAAATAAATTACACATTGTACTTACTTGTAAAAAGAATGTTCTGGCTCATTACTAGTAGAACTTGGTACACATGCTCGCATAAGTTTTTTAAACGAAGTCTTACTATGACGAATGTCAGCATACTCAATTGGGATAAAATCAATTTTCATGATAGAATCACCTTTCATACCCTATAAAAATATAAATTATTTTTAATTGAAAACTGACAATAAATGTTACACTAATATTTTGATTTTCTGTTTAATTTAATTACCTTCATTTGGGTTTTATCACCAAGTATGTACAAAGCAGCTCTATGAAATTCATGTGGACTATCTGAATTTGAATCGGGATCAGCCATCGACATACGACCATATTGTTGACTTTGAAACATAGATGAAGAGTAACTATTATTTGATGAAGTACTAATGTTACGTTTTTCTTTTAATGAGCCCCAGCGTCCAAATTGTTTATTGCCACCACTAGAACGCATTGGGCCCCTATATTATGTAAATGGTATTAACATTATGATATTAATTTCCATAAAGTATCATACTTATTCATTTTTGGAAAATATATATTTTTTTAAATTGTGGTTAATTTAACTATTTATAATACCTGCGTGAAATATCTGGTGAAAGAATATCTTCATCTGCAGCCAACAAAAGTGAATTTATACTAAGGCTGCTATCCGATAATCCCCAAGCAGCACCACTATTACGAAGAGTTGATAAAGGAGTAGAAGCAACAATAGCTGATAAGTATCTTTCTTGCTCTACAGAAGAATTGCTCTCTGAATTCAATGTACCTRGAAATAAAAGGATATACAATTACAATATTTAAATTAAACATTTTTCAAAAAGATAAATACATAATACATTAATGAAAAAWATACCTGTTGATGATGGATGAGTTGATTTCAGCATCCCAATAAGATTTTTTCCATGATACCCCGAACCACGTAATAATAATGCCGATGTTCGCTGATGGCGCCATGTGATAATTGGAACTCTACTATGACGATAATTTCGATAAAACCTTCGAATGCTGTCATCTGAAATAATTGATGGAACCACCCAGAGAGCAGGATAACTAAAATTATATTAAACAAAAAGTTTTTAATGWATATAGAAYTACTCATAATCATTTCATCAATACAAATCAAACAATATTTACCTGCGGCACATTAAATATGCTGAATTTAGTGTGGTGATTTTAAACGGCTCTTTATTATTATTTTTCTGCCCAATATTATTTGAACTAGTATTTTTTGGTGCGAGGCCTAGTCGAATCCAATCCCGTACATAACTCCTTTCGGTTACACGTTCCAATGTTTTCGGATCAGAAACATTAGAAACAATGTTAGAGGTATTTAGCACATTAATATCTAATTCATTTACTAGAAAAAAAAAATATTAACGTTAATACAAATTAAATTTGTATGACTAAAAGATTAGGCAGATACTTGAAGCATCACATTTTTCAATGTATGTTAACAAAATGGTTTTTAAAAATATATATATTCAATAAATTGTATTAAATTATGATTTTATACATTAAGCATTATTTATTAATAAATTATTTTAGAACAGAAATTTTTTAAATACAAAATTTGAATGAAAATTTTTAATAATATAAAAAGCATACAATAATGAAAAACTCATTATTGAGAATAATTTGACATACCAGATAAGTCATCAAGATTGTTAAATGGAGGAAGGGTCATCCGACCGGGAGTAGTCATGTATTTGTTAGCCTTGTTTATTGAACTATTTGATATGTTAGGTAAAACATATTTATGACGTTTGGACGAACTCTTTTGCTTGAAACCTGCTTTACGAGCAGTTTTCATCAAAGTTTTTTTTGCAAAGCCCCTAAYAAAAACAAAAAAAATCAAAATCACTCATAAAATATAATGTGTAAAAATGAAATCAAAACTCACTTGAGGGTGGCATTTTTTTCTTTATCATTTGTCATTGGCATTTCATAAATTGGAATTTGGCCTGTAAATGCAAAGTGATTAAATACATTTGGAGGATGTCGTACTTTGTGTATAAATTTTCGGAAACATTCTATATCTTCAGCATTTACTTCTTCATCAAATGCCACTTTGATTAACTAGAATGTATTAAGGTTATAAACATTGTGTAATTCAAGTCCAATATTTCATCAATAATWTCTTACCTGGAATGTGCAAGACCTAAATTGATGACCTTCTTGTAACCATTGGTCTAAGTGGGCCAAATATTGAACTGTTATACGTTTTTCTTTGGTTAACGACGTAACAGGAAATGATCTAACTACAATTTGTTCACAAGCAAAAGGATCCAAAGGAGTTCCTTTAAATACTATACGATAATTTGTAATAAAAATAGCTCCTTCTGCAGGTAACAGAGGTGGTCCACCAACTAATCCTCCTAATCCTTCTTCTCTTCCATCTGGTAGCAAATAAACTCTTAAACCATCCATCAGTGGTTCTTCTCCTGGTAGCATATTGGGTGTCAATATTTTAGGCTAAATATTTAAAACAATTTATTAATAATAGTATAGTATTTTATTACAATTAATACAGTTTATTTAAATTATTTAATATTACTTTTTGTATGGGTGGTAATCGCTTGGACTCTCTATTGACACCATCTAATGTTTCAATATGTATATGAACCACGCCTGGAATCATTTGATGTAATGCACGAATGTGTTCTTCACTAACTTCTCCTTCAGTACACACTTTATCAACAAAACGACTAACCATTTTAATGACCTTGTTGCCAATTTCATTAGGTTCTGGTTCAGCAAAACCACTTTCAACATCAGATTCACATACACTACCTGACCTGTCAACGGCACTAAAGAAAAAATGAAAAAAAGGCGGGTAAGTCGTGGATGTCGCTCCGCTGTACAGTATACTGTAACCTATAGGTTACAAGTGGGTTACTGTAATGGATGGATGTAATGGAATTAAATTTGAATCCAATGATATTATATCATTGTATATGAAAAATGATTCTGAGCGAAGACGGTTTATCTGTCTAGGATATATTATGGATTATTAAAAATTTTTAAATCTTAGATTTAAAAAGAAAAATTTAATGAATTTCTAGCTTAAAATAATTTGAGAATTTTCGTGATTTTTACGTATGTTGTCAAAATTCAAACTTTGAATACTAGTAGAAAAAATTGTGACTATGAATTTATTTTATTTTTCAACTGCTATTGTTAAAATGTGTTAGAAT